AATGTATGTACCAAATTTGAACAAAATCCATCCATGCATAACTGAGATACGGGTCCGGAATGGTGAAAATGTGCGATTTCAATGCATTTTCGGCCTTAAAGCGGCCCCCATTTGGCTATCGTTAATGAGATCATGAAACAAATGCACATACATATTTGTGACATGATGTACCTTGTGTGTGTGAAGTTTGAACTTGATCAATCCAGACATGTCTCGGATACGGATCCAGAACTGAATTCTTTAAAACAAAATGGCCGCCAGTCGGCTATTTCGAACTTGATCTGAAAAAAAAAATGACGTGCATCAAGGTCCTATTATGTTTAATGTATGTACCAAATTTGAATGAAATCCGTCCATGCATAACTGAGATCCGGGTCCGGAATGGTGAAAATGTGCGATTTCAATGCATTTTCGGCATTAAAGCGGCCGCCATACCAAATTTGAACAAAATCCGTCCATGCATAACTGAGATCCGGGTCCGGAATGGTGAAAATGTGCGATTTTGATGCATTTTCGGCCTTAAAATGGCCGCTATTTGGCTATAGTTAATCGGATCATGAAAAAAATGCATGTGCATATGTCCCATATAATGTGTGATGTATGAGTGAAGTTTGAACTTAATCGGTCCATGCATGTTCGAGATACAGGTGATCACGGACGGACGGACGGACGCACGGACGCACGGACGGACGGACGCACACAGGGCAAAACATAAGTCCCCGTTTTCGGACTGCGTCCAAACGGGGACTAATTATTATGCTTATTAGGGAATTAATATAAACAGATTTTAACCCCAAACTAATCAGGTTTGTACATTGTCCTAGAGCATCTTTGCACTAAGTTTCATTGAAATGGAATAATTAGTACTTTAGATATCAGTGTGATAGCTTAAAAGTGGTTAATTATATAAATTAGTAATTAATATGTACAGATTTTAACCCACAAATATCCAGGTCTGTCTATTGTCCTACAGCATCCATGTACAAAGTTTCATTGAAATGTGATGATTAGTACTTGAGAAATCAGTGTGAAAGCTGAATATTAATTAATTATGCAAATTAGGTAATTAATATACACAATTATTTACCCTAAAACTAATCAGGTCTCTGGATAGTCCTAAAGGATCTATGTACCAAGTTTCATTGCAATGTGATAAGTAGTACTTGAAAGCTGAAAATTAACTAATTATGTAAATTAGGTAATTAATATGCACAAATATTTATCCCAAAACAATCAATCTCTGCATAGTCCTTGAGTATCTATGTACCAAGTTTCATTGAAAGGTAATGCTTACTACTTGAAACATCAAAAGCTGAAAATTAATTAATTATGCAAATTGGGTAATTAATATGCACTGACATTACCCTAAAAACTATCAGGTCTGTGCAGTGTCCTATGACATCTATGTACCAAGTTTCATTGAAATGTGATGATTAGTACTTGAGGTATCAGTGGAAAACCCCAAAATTGACTAATCATTATGCAAATTAGGTAATTAGTAATTAGGTAATTTTAACCAAAGACTAATCAAAACCAAGCATTAGTTCAGAGCATCTATGTACCAAGTTTCATCAAATTCCAATAAGTGGTTCTTTAGATATCAATGGAACAATCATTGAACAGCTAAAAATTAGCTTATTATCATGCAAATTAGGTAATTAATATGCATGAAATTTTACCAAAACCTAATCAAATCTGCGCATTAGCTCAGAGCATCTATGCACCAAGTTTCATCAAAAACTGATGTATGGTTCTCGAGATATCAGTGAAACAGACGGACACATACACATACAGACACACTAACCGCAAAGACTCATTTTGTGCTTCGCACACGGGAGTTAAAAACCTAAAATTTTATTTAGAATCTCATGTACTACTATTAAGCGTAAAAAAAGTGTGCGCACCACTGAAAAAAGAAAATTTTTTTTTTTTTTCACAGGACTTTCCGTTGACTAATTGATTACCCATCAAATACTGAAAAAAAAATAAAAAAGCACCACATCGCCCTATTTCTGAAAAAAAAAATCGGAAAAAAAAAATTTCAATTAGCACTCACTCTTTTCATCACCATGTAATTAACCTTCCCTATACCATCACCATTCAAATATACTCTTGCACCCATTTTGTAGCCAATGCAATCTGATTAAAATCTAAAGTATTGTATGGCATTTTTTTAATTATTTTGTATCATTTTATGTTTTTTGTTACTTATATTTTTAACTATCGCCACATGTTGGCTTTCGCAATCACCAAAACTTCAAAATATAAATACTAGATCAAAATAAAATAAAATAAATATAAATAAAAAAAAGAAGCCAAAACTAGGATCTTATTTTAATCAGATTGGTAACCAAGGCATCAGGCAGTAAAAACAACTACATAGACAGCATAGTATTAGTACATGCACAACCTAAAATTAAAGGGAAAGTCAAGGCTCACAACATAATACTCCCAGATAAAAGAGCTCAACAAATATAAGAACATGCAATTTACAGTTTTTTTATATCACTTTTCATTCTCTAGATTTTCAACTTTTCATCAATTTATGTAGTCCACCATCGTGATTCTTCAGCAATTTCTGACAACATATTCTATGATGTCATACTCTACCCATAATCACTTGGTTGAGAATCAAGATGGCTGACTACTAAATACTGATGAAAAGTTGAATATCTAGAGAATGAAAAGCAATATAAAACAAGCCATGCAT